AATGAATACTTCTTAATTGAATAACTTTGCATTTCCTTTATTTAATTTGACATTTTAAATAAATACTTCTTAATTGAATAACTTTGCATTTCCTTTATTTAAAAACTGTAAAATAATGAATACTTCTTAATTGAATAACTTTGCATTTCCTTTATTTAATTTGACATTTTAAATGAATACTTCTTAATTGAATAACTTTGCATTTCCTTTATTCAATTTGACATTTTAAATAAATATTTCTTAATTGAATAACTTTGGATTTCCTTTTATTTAAATTGCCATTTTAAATAAATATTTCTTAATTGAATAACTTTGCATTTCCTTTATTTAATTTGACATTTTAAATAAATATTTCTTAATTGAATAACTTTGCATTTCCTTTCATTTAAATTGCCATTTTAAATAAATATTTCCACTTTCTTTCTTCTTTAAACTGACGGCGACTCCCAGACGAATCCTTGTGCACTTTTGTCCCTCACATTGGCACTCCTCACATAATATATACAACATATATATATATATATATATATATATATCTATCCCATACATACAGGATATATATATATATATATATCCCATACATATAGGATATATATATATATATATCCTATACATAATGTATACAACATACATATATATATCTCATACATAATATATACAACATATATATATATACCGTATACATAATATATACAACATATATATATATCCTATACATAATATATACAACATATATATATATATCCCATACATAATATATACAACATATATATATACCCTATACATAACACATACAACATATATAATATATACATATATATATCCTATCCATAATATACACAACATACATACATATATATATGTATAATATATTACATAATATAAATTAAACTATATAATATATATATTCTAAACAATATTAATATATATATATATATATAATATATATATATATATATATTAATTTCTGTGCAGGTATTGTCTTGCGTGTGCGCGTCTCCTCTGGAGTCTCTGGAGACAGTGCGGAGCACTTTGGAGTGGAAGCTGCTGCAGTGGCGGGCCATGGCGGAGCTTTTGGGGGCTTTTTGGACTCTGCAGGAGCAGCCGCACTTTGCGGGCGCGGTGGACTTCAAAAAAAGATTCCTCCAAGACAAAAGAGCTGCTGCGGAAGTCGAGGAACTCCGCAACGCAGAAGGCAGAGACCCCAGGAACAAGGCTCCCAGACTCGCCAAACACGAGGCCTGAAGCTGCTGCTGCAGCAGCAGCAGCAGCAGCTGCAGCAGCTGCAGCAGCGCAGCAGCAGCAGCAGCAGCAGCAGCAGCAGCAGCGCAGCAGCAGCAGCAACTGCTGCAGCAGCAGCAGCGCAGTAGCAGCAGCAGCAGCAGCAGCAATAGCTGCAGCAGATTTGAGGGTTAGAGGGGTTTGTGCTGCAGATCTGCTGGGGGGGCAAATTGGAAATGCCGCGGAAAAATGGCCTTTTGGGGTGTCTGGGGAGTTTGCGTGCAAGTTGAGTTTGGCTTTGCGTTTGTTGTTTGCTGCCAATTAAATCATTTGAATAAAATAAAATAAAATAAAATAAAATAAAATAAAATAAATGCATTTAAAGTTTACTGGAAGCATTTGCTGCTGCTGCTGCTGAGCCGAGAGCCGCAGCAGCAGGGGCTCGCGCGCTCCAGGCCCGGCTCAGCTGCAGAGTTCAGCACTTAGGATTTTTAAATGGAATTTGGAATTTAAAAGTTTAATTGACTTTTAATTATTTCCAGAATTAACTTTTAACTGCGGTGGAGTCTTCTCTGCCCCGCGCGGCGACTGCTGCTGGCTGCACAGCTCAGCAAATAATGCCTTTTGCAAGACGCAGCAAAGGGGAATTTGTGAAACTCCATTTGCCAAAATTAATCCTTCAAATGCTATTTAAATGCAATTAATTAATAGTGACAATATTTTCCCGCTTCAGCATCAAAGCCGCAGGATCCAGTGCAGAAAACGGCATTTTCCGGGTGTACGTACACCGCAGGAGTTCGCCCGCGCGTGCACCTTTCAGGCAACAGTGGAGCTTTGCGTGAAACAAAATGCCGAAATGTAAATTATTTAGTTTACTTTTGTCATTTTTGATGTTTTAATGCCTCCAGAGTTGCTGGAAAAGTGTTCTGAATGCATGCAGCAGCAGCAGCAGCAGCAGCAGCAGCAGCAGCAGCAGCAGCAAAATGGATCTTCTGGAACTGGGCTCACTTCACCTCGGCGTTACTTTGCGCATTGGGGAGAAGAAATGAGAGTTATTAAACAAAAGAATAAACAATTAAATAAAATAAAGATAAGATGTTTATTTTGCAGAAGAATAAACAATTAAATAAAAACAAAGATAAGATGTTTATTTTGCAAAAGAATAAACAATTAAATTGATAAAATAGCCTTTGCAACAGGGGCCCAGGACTTGTGTTTTTTCCACTTTTGCAATTCTTCACATCCAGAAAAGCCAGCCCCACCAATGCCCCTCTAGAGAAACAATTCCATAGCCACAACTTAATAATAATAATAATAATAATAATAATAATAATAATAATAATAATAATAATAATAATGATAGTAATAATAATAATAATAATAATAATAATAATAATAATAATAGTAATAATAATAATAATAATAATAATAATAATAATAGTAATAATAATAATAATAATAATAATAATAATAATAATAGTAATAACTGCTGCCAAGGCTTTGGGGGCCCTCAGAGGGAAAAGCCTGAAGAGCTTTTTATTAGTTTGGATTTCGCCTTTCAGTTTCTCAAGCCAACTTGTGCTGCAGCAGCAGCAGCAGCAGCTTGCAGCAGAGCTGGACAAGCGATTTAATTTAAATAAATAATAAATAATAAATAATAAATAATAAATAAATAAATAAATAATAAAGGCCTTTTAAGGGCCAGTCTCCCCAAGTGGTGCAGCAGATTCAAATTAAAGTTGGGCTGCTTTGTGGGCTCTGGGGTGCGGGAGATGCAAAAGGGCCAAAAAGGGGAATTTGAAAAGCCAAAAGAATTAAAAAAAGAAATTTAAATAAATAAAAAGATTTAAAGTTCGTTTTAATTCAAATGCGCAGCCGGCAACGCAGGTCTTGCCGTTTTGCCGCCCCCCAGCAGCAGCAGCAGCAGCAGCAGCAGCAGCAGTCCGACAGACACACAACTCGGAGGCCAGGCTGGCCGCAGCGAGGCCTAAAAAGTGGAAAAGAAGATTAAATTTGAATATTAGAGGAAAAATAAACTCAAAAAAGTCCCAAGTTTTTCAACTTTCGCCGCATTTCCCCGCGCAGTTCGCAGAACCCGAGGCGAAGTCCCGCTGGTCACCTGCGGTCCCCTTTTCGCGCTTCCCAACAGCCCTTTCTTCGCCTCGCAGTTTCCATTCTTCTTTTTTGACGCAAATCGCTTTTCAGAACTTTCAAAAGTGGCGTTTTTCCTTCGCTTTCCGCCGCCATGAGCGAGTCTTCGGGTGTACGTACACCCCGGCGCTCGCGGCCTCCCGGCGAGTCCGCCGCTCCTTCCCGCACTTCTTTGGCAGCAGAAGAAGAATTAAAAGATCTCCAGAAGTTCCAAAATGCAAATAAAACAGAAATGAATGACAAAGAGAGGCCGCAGAGCTCGGCAGACCCCCCCGAGGGCTCCGTCACTTCTGTCGCCCTGGCGCTCTACAAAGCAGGTGAAACCCCAAACCCGAAACCCTAAACCCTAAACCCTAAACCCCGCATCGCGCGCTTTACGCCCTCCACCGGGTTCCTGAAACCCCAACACCAGGCCCTCTGCGCCCCCAAACCCCAAACCCCAAACCCTAAACCCTAAACCCTAAACCCTAGACCCCGCGGCAGCTGTTTCCTTCAGGCTCATGAACCTGCGATTTTGGACTCGGAGGAATCTTTAAAAGAGCCTCTTAAGGCCCAGTGCATGCAGCCAGCACAAATTCAATTTAATTTAATTTAAATTAATTAATTAATTTAATTAAATTAAATAATTAATTAATTAAATTAATTAATTAAAAACTGAATTAAATTAAATTTGCCCGCAGGCCTTCAGTTCGAAACCCGGGGCAAACTGGCGGGGGCCATTGGGCTGTACAGACAGGCCCTGAAGCTGCACCCGGGGCTGGACAAAAGTGTCTTCACTTTTGAAGAAGAATTAAAACTTGAAAAGGAAAACCAACTTGCAAATGGCAGCAGCTCGCAGCAGCAAACTGGCAAACTCGCGGAGCCGCAGCGCAGCAGCAGCAGCAGCAGCAGCAGCAGCAGCAGCAGCAGCGGCGGCAGGAGGGGGGCTACGAGGCGCGAAGAGGGAGCTGCAGCAGCAGACGCGCATGCAGGGTCGGCGTCTTCTGCAGCAGCAGCAGCAGCAACAGCAGCAGATGCAGCAGCAGCAACAGATGCAGCAGCAGCAACAGATGCAGCAGCAGCAGCAGCAGCAGCAGCAGCAGCAGCAACTCCTGGTCCAATAATGAAAGTTCCGGAACATGTTTTGGGGCGGGTGCTGCTCTTTCTGGACGTCTACGCAATTGCCAGGTATTCGTTTTAACAAAAATAAAATAAATTAAATTAAATTAATTAAATTAAATTAAATTAAATTAAATTAAATTAATTAGATTAAATTAAAATGAAATAAAGAAAGAGACAAACGAGACACAAATGGCTGGCTAGCTAGCTCGTCAAACGGCCAGCTGCTAGCTAGCCAACTGCCTGGCTAGCTAGCTAAGTGCTTGGCTAGCTAGCTAGCTGGCTAGCTAGGTGACTGGCTAGCTGGCTAGCTAGCTGCTAGCTAGCTGCTAGCTAGCTGCTAGCTAGCTAGCTAGCTGCTAGCTAGCTAGCTAGCTAGCTAGCTGCTAGCTAGCCAGGAGCGCCTTTGGCTGTGCGTGTCACTGCGGCCTCGCAATTCCGCCGCTGACTGCCGCAGCAGCAGCAGCAGCAGCAGCACAAGTCGCTGCTGCAGCTGCACTTGCTGCTGCTGCTGCTGCTGCTGCTGCTGCTGCTGTCAGACTCTGCATGACCTGCAAGTCCTTTCAAAAAGGGCTGTGGGGTCTCGAAGACATTTGGAGAAAAAAAACCAAAAGTGCTTTTCAGCTGCTTCCAGACCACTCCCTCTATGGAAACTCTTGGAAGCGGTCCGCGCTGCTGCTGCAATGCTGCTGCTGCTGCAGTGCTGCTGCTGCTGCAATATTGCTGCTGCTGCAATGCTGCTGCTGCAATGCTGCTGCTGCTGCAATGCAATGCTGCTGCTGCTGCAATGCTGCTGCTGCTGCAACGCTGCTGCTGCAATGCTGCTGCTGCTGCAATGCTGCTGCTGCAAGGCTGCTGCTGCTGCAATGCTGCTGCTGCTGCTGCTGCAGCAGCTGCTGCTGCTGCTGCTGCTGTTTGCTGCTCGCAGGACCTTCTTCGAGGCGCCGCGGCTGCGGCTGGACGGAATTTATATCAGCAAATGCGTTTACTTGCGGAGAGTGCGGGATGTGGGGAATATACACCTGGACGAGCGGCGGCGCAGCACGCTGCAGCAGCTGCAGCAGCAGCTGCAGCAGCAGCTGCAGCAGCCCACAGGGGCCCCCATAAGCCAGGAGCTCATTAACAACTTGGCAGCAAACTCGCCAGTTGTTGCTGTCACTTACTACAGATATTTGCGCTTCTTGCCCAACAACAGGGTCTTGGTCCTCAGGTTTGCTGCTGCTGCTGCTGCTGCTGCTGCTGCTGCTGCTGCGGTTCACGGGGACGTTGCTTCTGCTCCGTCTGCTGCTTTGGCTGCTGTTGCTTTCCTGCCTCTATTTTGCTTCTGGAGGTTCCTGCTGCTGCTGCAGTTGCTGCTGCTGCTGCAGTTGCTGCTGCTGAAGCGAGCAACAGCAGCAGCAGCTGCTGCTGCAGCAGCTGCTGCTGCAGCTGCAGCAGCTCTTAGGTGCTTGCTGCGCACAGCCGGCTACACTGTTGCTTAGCAGTTTGGGGTGTACAGACAGCTCTGTAACTTGGCGAGATCGGAAAAATGCGAAGACTGAATTAAAAAGAAATTAATTAAAAGAAATTAATTAAAATAAATAAATCAAAATAAATTAAATGGCATTTGAACTGCTTTTGGATTTGTTTGCTGCAGGTCTGAGGCTGAGAAGCAAGTTGCTGTTGCTGCACTCAAGTGCGTGGAGGCTCGCCTGGAGGGAAAGCCTGTGAGGGTTTAGGGTTTGTGGTTTAGGGTTTGTGGTTTAGGGTTTGTGGTTTAGGGTTTGCGGTTTAGGGTTTAGTTTCGAGGGTTTATCATTTTCAAAATTCAAATCCACTATTTTCAATTCTTTCCAGTTCCGAAAAGGCTTCACTGCCGGCGCCCCACTCACCAAAAAAGCTGCCGCTGCTGCTGCTGCTGCTGCTGCTGCTGCTGCTGCTGCTGCTGCTGCAGGACTGCTGCAAAGCTGCGCTGGCCCCCAGCAGGGCCCCCGCACTCCAAGGGGCCCCCCTGCCAGACCAAGTGGTGTTGGGACTTTTTAATTTTGACACTTCGAACAAAACTGTTACTTTGGAGTACCCGGGGCGGAGCCCCGCAGCAGCAGCTGCTGCTGACGGCGCAGCAGCAGCAGCAGCAGCAGCAGCAGCAGCAGCAGCAGCAGGGAGCCCGCAGCAGCGCGGGGGCAGGAGCCGCAGGGAAGCTGCTGCTGCAGCTGCTGTGGGGCCCCACGGAGACAGCCGGGGGCCCCCAAATCCAATACCAAACTCAGAAGGGTCCAGAGGGGGGCCCCCCAGCTCTTGGGGGGCCCCCAACACCAGGGGGGCCCCCAACAACAGGGGGGCCCCCAACACCAGGGGGGCCCCCAGCAACTTGGGGGCCCCCAGCAGCTCGGGGGGCCCCCGAGCTGCCCCCGTGCATACAGCTGTGCTGCAGTTGGCCCACGTGAAGGGGGGCTGGTGGAACTCCAAGCTGAAGTGGATAAGTGAGCTGCAAACCCTAAACCCTAAACCCTAAACCCTAAACCCTAAACCCTCGACTCTTCGGTGTCTGCATGCGAGGGGGAGTTGTCCGAGCCAGAAATGGCAAAGCAAAAAAGACAAGTAACAGTTCTTATGAGAAGTGCTCTAGAGCTTGGAATCGAGGGTTTGGGTTTAGGGTTTAGGGTTTAGGGTTTAGGGTTTAGGGTTTAGGAACTGGGGTTTCTCGCGCAGGCTTGTCGGTCACTTCCAACACGCATTACGGTCCAGATGAATCTTTCATTGATGTTGAAAACGAGAACTTCAGGTGACCTCGCCGGCAAACCCTAAACCCTAAACCCTAAACCCTAATTCCAAACCCTAAACCCTAAACCCGCTGGCCCAAGACTCTGAGCTGCTGCCTTCAGTCTTTTGCATTTCGTTTTCAGGCCCTTTCTCTTCCACCGCGTCATTTCCTTCCAAGATTATTTCTAGGGTTTGCGAGGGTTTAGGGTTTGCAAGCAGCGGCGGTCTAGGGTTTAGGTTTTGTGCAAAGCCGCAAACCCGAGGGGCCACAGAGTACAAGGGGCCCCTCTTGTGCTGCTGCTGCTGCTGCTGCTGCTGCTGCTGCTGCTGCTGCTGCGCCGCCCCGCAGCAGCAGCGCGGCTCTCAGGTTTTTTTTTGCATGGCAACTACAAATGCAGTTTTTTTTCAGGGTTTGGGGTTTAGGGTTTAGGGTTTAGGGTTTGGGGCACTGCACGAGACACACTTCGCAGGTTTCTTGCTTGCTCAAATAGAAGACTGGAAATCTCTGGGAATGCACGGAGTCAGAACTAAAGTTTAGGATTTGAAGGTTTACGGAATATATCTTTAAAACAGAACTACAGGATGCCTCTTAAGGTGTACGTACACTCCAAATCGAGCCATTTTGTGGCATTTCAAACGAACTTTAGGCATTCATCTTTCGACTTGCAAAATCTGAATTCCATTTGCGGATTTTCGCTGGCCATGCACCACCGCCGGTGCTTTCGCGTGACTGCCGGACTAAAATTGTTTTTTTAAAGTTGAATTATTTGCAAAAGTCATTTTATTTTGAAGTGCTTTCCTCTACTGCGGTGATCAGAGGAGTGCTGCTGGCTGCAGCAGTTGCAGCAACGGGGCGGCCAAACTCCCTTGCGGGGGCGAAGGCCATTAAATAATCTTTCAGCAGCAGTTTAAATAATTAAAAAAATTAAATTGCAAAAGGCTTTTCCCAGCTTTGAGGGATTTGCCACTGGTTTCAGCCGCTGAGGCCCTGCTGCAGGTTTTGCAAAAGGTGAATGTACGGAGGTCACCGCCTCGCGCGGCGAAACGCGCATTAAAAGGAAAGACAGCGCCTCAAAAGTCAAAAAGATGAATTAAGAATGAAAAAGCATTTTATAATTTGCCAAAATGGTTTCGAAAACTGCAAAAAGACATATTAATCGCGAACAGCAGAAGCCCAGCAGACGGCCCCTCACCTTCTGCTGATCCGGGGCCCCAGCAGCAGCGAAGAACGCCCCAACCCGCGGCCTCCTTCTGCGATTTAGGCCTCCAAATGGGACCAAATGAATTCAATTTGACGAAATAAATCATTTAATTGCTTTGCATGCGCGAAAAACGGACTCAGCCGCACAACAACCCCATGCATTCCCGCGCCGCTAACACCCCCGGGGCCCGCTGAAGCCCAGAGCCGCAAAGCCCCTGCGGCTTCTTCCTTAATGAGGGGCCTTTTGGGTTTCCTGGCACATTTTGGCTGAAGAGAGGCTCCAGGCGGGCCCAGGGCTGCTTCGCTGCAGCAGCAGCAGCAGCAGCAGCAGCAGCGGGAACTGCAGCAACTGCAGCAGCAAATGCAGGCCGGGTCCGAAGTCCCCACGGCCCCTGCAGGGGCCCCCCCGCTGAAGAAGCACAAAGCCACAGGGGCCACCAAGCTGCAGCAGCCTTTCAAAGCCACGCGAGTCCTCCCTAAAGACAGCAGCAGCAGCAGCAGCAGCAGCAATGGCAGCAGCAGCAGCAGCAGCAGCAGCAGCAAGGGCCTACTTCCCAAGGCCAAAAGCCCCTTCGCCCCCGCATCTTCGCTGAAGTCTTTGGGCCCAAATGCAGGGGAAAGTCACCGGAGGTCCTTCGGGCCTTCTGCTGCAGCTGCAGAAGCAGCAGGAGAGCATGCAGCAGCAGCAGCAGCAGAAGCAGCAGCAGCAGCAACAGCTGCTTCTGCCACAACAACGGCGGCAGCAGCAGCAGCTGCTGCAGCACCGAGAACAGCAGCAGCAGCCGCCCCTGCGCCCAAAACAGCAGCAAAGGCTGCTGCTGCTGCTGCTGGATCTGGGCCCCCCGAAGCAGCTGCAGCAGCAGCAGCAGCCGCCTCCGCAGCGCCAGCAGCAGCAGCAGCAGCAGCAGCAGCAGCAGCAGCAGCAGGGGAGGTAATAGATGTGGACGAAGACGAGCTGCCGCTGTGTCCTTTGCGCAAAACCCTAAAAAGGGTTTGGGGGTTTTCGGAGTTTCGAAAAGGCCAAGAGGAAGCTGTGAGGGCTGTGCTGCAGGGCAAAGACGCGCTAGTCATCATGCCCACAGGTGCCTAGGGTTTAGGGTTTAGGGTTTAGGGTTTAGGGTTTAGGGTTTAGGGTTTAGTTGTGCGCTGGAGGCCGTCGGCGCGTCAAAAGAGAGCCCAGAGTTTCCGCTTTGGAATGCCGGGCGTCAAACGGCGCGAATCCGCCAACCCTAGACCCTAAACCCCAAACCCTAAACCCTAAACCCTAAACCCTAAACCCTAAATGTTTGCTGCTGCAGGCGGCGGCAAGTCGCTGACTTACACGCTGCCTGGGCTGCTGCTGGAGGGCGTTGTGCTTATTGTGTCTCCCCTGATTGCCCTCATAGAGGACCAGGTGCGCTCTAGGGTTTAGGGTTTAGGGTTTAGGGTTTAGGGTTTAGGGTTTGCTTCAAGGGTGGGGCTGGACCAATTCAAAGAGAGAAAGCGAATTAGATGAATAGAGACAGACACTGAAAGGCGAAAAAAGAAAAGAAAAAGATGTGCCATCACTTGCTGCTGCCATGTTTGCTGCTACTGCTTTGCTTGCTGCTGCTGCTGCTGCTGCTGCTGCTGCTGCTGCTGCTGCTGCTGCTGCAGCTCCGCCGCCTGCGTGCTCGAGGGCTTTCAGCTTTTTGTCTCAACTCGACGCTGACTCAGAAGCAGCGGCAGGAAATCATAGCGCGTCTTCTAAACCCTCAGCAGCAGCAGCAGCAGCAGCAGAAGCAGCAGCAGCAGCAGCAGCAGCAACAGCAGCAGCAGCCACAGGGGCCCATTAAGTTTTTGTTTGTGACTCCGGAGCAAATTGCCACCCCCTCTTTCCAAGGCGTGCTGCGGCAGATGGAGCAGCAGCGGCAGCAAGTCAAGGAGCAGAGAAAGCAGCAGCAGCAGCAGCAGCAGCAGCAGCAGCAGCAGCAGCAGCAGCAGCAGCAGCAGAACGGAGGAGCAGGTGTGGCGCTTGTGGCTATTGACGAGGCGCATTGCATTTCCTCTTGGGGTCACGATTTCAGGGCCAGCTACAGGCAAGCCTCGGCTGCTGCTGTTGCTGCTGCTGCTGCTGCTGCTGCAGCTGTTGCTGCCATATCTGCTGTTGCTGCTGCAGCTTCAGCTGTTGCTGCTGCATAGCTGCTGTTGCCGCTGCAGCTACTGCAGCTGTTGCTGCTGCTTAGCTGCTGCTGCCTCGCTGCTGCTGGCCACCCCACCCGCCTCCCCCACCACCACTGCTGCTGCTGCTGCTGCTGCTGCTGCTGCTGCTGCTGCTGCTGCTGCTGCTGCTGGGCGCAGGCGTTTGGGTTTGCTGCGGAGTTTGCTGCCGGAGACGCCGCTGCTGGCGTGCACTGCAACAGCAACAGCAGCAGTGCAGCAAGACATCTGCAGCAGCTTGCGGCTGCGGCAGCCAGTGCTGGTGCGGCTTTCTTTCAACAGGTTTGTGGCATTCAATCTTGGACTTTATTCTTCATTTCTTTTCCTCTTTTGTTCTTTTATTCTTTTATTCTTTTTTTTCTGTTTTTATTCTTTTGTTTTCTATTTTATTCTTTTATTCTTCATTGTTTTGTTGCTTCACTCTGCCCGCAGCCGCCGCCTGCCAGGTTGAAGGAACTTGTTCATTTTTTGCAATTCTTTGTTTAATGACGCATTTTGTTGAGTGAAAATGAAAATTAAATCCATTTTATCAAATAAAATGAATAAATAATTCATTTAAATGCTCTAGGCCGAACATTTACTACGAAGTTCGACTGAAGATGCCGGAGGCGGAGGAGGAGGAGGCGCTGGAGTGTACAGACAGGGAGCAGGAAACGGAATATGCTGCAGCAGATTTGGCAAAAGAAATAAAAAGAAATCATTTTAATGATTTAGGAATTGTTTACTGCCTAAAGAAGACAGACTGCGAGACTGTAAGGCCCCTTGGCTGGGCAGTTGTGCAAAAAATTCAAAAAAATTCAACTTTGCAAATCTCTTGCATGCGCTTTATTTCTGGTTCTTTCTTCTTTCTTTCTGCATTCCACTTCTCCTTCTTTCCTCTTTTTGTGTTTTATGTCCTTTTCCTTTTATTTCCGCTTTTTAATTCTTTTTTTTCTTCAAAAATCCTCTTTTTTGAGTCCATTTTCCGTCAGTTTCTGCACTTGTTTTCACTTCAAAATGCGTTATTTTGAGGTGTATTGACAGCTGCTGGTGCAAATAAACTCCAAAACTCCAAAACGAACTTTTGAGAATTCGTCAGAATTAACTTTTCTCCGTCTCCCCGTCAGCCGCCTCCCCCGCCTTTGTCTTTGCCCTTTTCGCCGTGGCTTTTGCTGCTGCTGCTGCTGAGGTTCTGCTGCTGCTGCTGCTGCTGCTGCTGCTGCTGCTGCTGCTGCGTCGTTCTCCCGCTGCTGGTGTTGGATCTGCGTGTCTGGACATGTTGTGCGCACTTCCCAACTTCGCCGCATTTCCCAAACCAACAAAACAAAAAACAAAACAAATAAATAAATAAATAAATAAATAAACAAATAAATAAATAAATAAATAAATAAGTAATAAATGATGTGCTGCGCTGCGCAGCTGGCGCTGCTGCTGAGCCGCGCAGGAGTTGCTGCTGCTGCTTACCACGCGGGCCTTTCGGAGCTGCTGCGGCAGCAGCTGCAGCAGCAGTGGTTTGAGGGTTTAGGGTTTAGGGTTTTGGTGGCCACGGTGGCTTTCGGCTTGGGAGTGGACAACCCCCGCGTCCGCTTCGTGGTCCACTTCTCCCTCCCCAAGACCGTCGAAGGTCCCAAACCCTAAACCCTAAACCCTAAACCCTAAAGGTCCCAAACCCTAAACCCTAAACCCTAAAGGTCCCAAACCCTAAACCCTAAACCCTAAAGGTCCCAAACCCTAAACCCTAAAGGTCCCAAACCCTAAACCCTAAAACCTAAACCCTAAAGGTCCCAAACCCTAAACCCTAAAGGTCCCAAACCCTAAACCCTAAACCCTAAACCCTAAACCCTGTGGCGAAAAAAAGCGAAAAAAGGGGAATTGGAGAAAAAGAAGAAAGGGGAATTCTCTTCAACTTAATTCTCCTCTCAGCAGCAAAAGAAAACTCCGAAAGTCAGCAGCAAAAGAAAACTCTGAAGTGGAAATTTAAAAATAAAATGCAAGTTGCTGCGCTGCGGTGTATGTACAGCCTTCTACCAGGAGTCCGGCCGCGGCGGCCGCGACGGATTTGCTGCTCGCAGCATTTTATATTTTTCTCCTGCGGACTACCGGCTGCTGCAGTTCGTGCTGCAGCAGCAGCGGGAGCAGCAGCTCGCAGCAGCAGCAGCAGCAGCAGCAGCAGCAGCGGGCGCGCGGCAGCACAAAGACCTGCAGCAAGTCCAAAAGGCTGCAGCAGAGCAGCACGAAAGACAACTCCAAAAACTTAAGGCTTGTTTGTCTTACTGCCGCCTCGCGGGCTGCCGCAGGCGCTATTTGCTGCAGCAGTTCGGCGAAGAATACAGCCCTGCTGCTGCTGCTGCTGCTGCTGCTGCTGCTGCGGGGGGCACTGCAGCAGCAGCAGCGGGAGCAGGCGCTGCTGCTGCTGCGGCTCGCTGCTGCGACAACTGCAGCGACCCAGCAGCAGCGCGCCGCCGCGCGCTGCTGCTCAGCAAGCTGGAGGGGTCTGCTGCTGCTGCTGCTGCTGCAGCAGCAGCAGCAAGAAAAACTTTCTGGAGAGATGCAGCAGACAGCAGATTGGCTCCTTTAGAAATTGAGCAGCAAGAAGTGCCTGACGGGGGCCGCCGGGGGCGGGGCCGCGTGGTGTACAAAAACCCAGCAGCAGCAGCAGCAGCAGCAGCAGCAAGAGCAGCAGCAGCAGCGCCGCAGCGGCAAGCCATCCCCGAAAGCATTCGCAAGAAAGGTTTGGCAGCTGTTATGAAAGAACTCGAGAAAAGGGAGCAGCAGCAGGAAAGCAGCAGCAGCAGCAGCAGCAGCAGCAGCAGCAGCAAGAAGCACCACGCACTCTTTGCGGAGTTCCGGTCCGCAGCAAAATTGTCCGCAGCGCCGTCGCCACCAGCAGCAGCAAAGCCTGCAGCAGCAGCAGCAGCTGCTGCTGCTACTGCAGCAAGACCAGCTGCTGCTGCAGCAAGACCAGCAGCTGCTGCAGCAAGACCAGCAGCTGCTGCAGCAAGGCCTCTGAAGACTCTGGGCCTCTGCCGGCCCATTGGGCTGCAGCGGACTCGCCCCTCTCCGTAGCGCTGCAGCAGAAGCTCCCTGCATTATTGCTGTCTTTGCTGCTGCTGCTGCTGCTGCTGCTGCTGCTGCTGCTGCTGTTCTTGCGGGCAGAGGCGGCTGCAGCACGCCGCGCAGTGTCGATACACTGCAGCAGCTGGCACCTGCATGCACCGTTTGCTTCCGTTTTTTTGCCTTTTCACTTTTATCACTTCTAATTAATCTTTAAATGTATTTTACTTCAAAAATAATGCAAAAATAAACCAAAAGAAACCAAAAAGTCCCCAAAGTTGGGCCAAAAAGTCACTAACTGCTGCGCCCTTCTGGCCCTCCAAACCCCCAGGGGCCCCTGGGCACTACTGGGGGCCCCCAAAGACACCCAAAAGCCCCAAATTTAAACCTGCTGGATTTCCACACACAATAAAAAAGACCTTGGGGCCCCCAGGGGCCCCAAGGGGGCCCCCAGGGGCCCCCAGGGGGCCCCTAGGGGGCCCCCAGGGGGGCCCCCTGAAGGGTCTCCACGGGCCTCAAGGGGGGCCCCTAGGGGCCCCCCGAGGCCCAAATGAAGACCCCTCTGGGGCTTTGCTTGGGCCCCAACTGTAAAGGCCCTAATGCCCCTCTCGGGCAACCCGGGGGCCCCCCGCGGCCCCTCAGGGGACTCTCAAGGGGCCCCTTTGGGGCCCCTCGGGGGCCCCTTTGGGGCCCCTCGGGGGCCCCTTTGGGGCCCCATTAAGGGAGCTTTGCATTTACATTTCTTGAAGAAGAAGAAGTCTGCTGCGCCGGGGCGGCAGGCCGGGGTGTCTGTACACTTGCGAAGGGAGGCGTTGAAACAGTTGTAGATTTTGGCGAAGACTTTTTAATTTAAAAGTTTTAAAAAAGTGAAAAGACTTCTTGCGAAAAAGCGGCTTCCAAAGAAGCCCCTTTGCCGCGGAGCTGAGGTGTACGTACACCCCAGGTGTATGCGGAGTTGGCTTTTGGCCTTTTTGAGGTCTTGAGAAGATTTAAAAGCAGAAATGAGCAGCAGAAGTCCTCAGAAAGGCGCCTGTCTTGAGGCAATTTGCTTAAGAGGTGGAAAAGGGTCTTCTTTCAACAAAGAGGGAGAAATGCATGCAACAATCAAAGCCACCAAAGCCCGCCGCAGCCACGAGGGCTTGTCAGTGAACTGAAACTCCGGCAGCAGCTGCCCCAGGTCCCCGGGGGCCCCCAGGGGGCCCCCCCTGCTGCTGCGGCTGCTGCGGCTGGGGCCCCTCTGCGGCAGCACGGCCACGGGGCTCGCCAGGGGGGCCCTCCGCGGCGACCGCGCTGCTGCTGCTGCTGCTGCTGCTGCTGCTGCTGCTGCTGCTGGCGCGGCTTCGTTTGCTGCAGCCGAAGCTGCGGAGCTGCGCCTCCCTGCTGCAGCAGCAAGCCCCACAGCTGCTGCTGCGCCCGAAGGACTTCGCGGCGAAGAGGGGCCCGGCGCTCTTCGCGGGGCCTCAACTAGCGTTGGCCCCGTAGGAGCAGCAGCAGCAGCAGGCGCTGCTGCTGCTGCTGCTGCTGCTGCTGCTGCTGCTGGTGGCGCTGCTGCAGCAGCGCCGGCGGGGCGAGAGGCAGCGAGCTGCGCAGCGGGGGCCCCTGCGTAGCCCCAAGGGCCGAGGCCCTCCATAGAAAGAAGAAAAGGAAAATAAAAGAAATGAATTTCTCACAAGTGCAAAAGGGCTTTCGGGTGCAGCGGGAAAGCAGTGCTGCCAGAGGCCAGCCCAGTGCGGCGCCGCGGCGTGTGCACTTCGGGGAATAGCCCGGGGCCTCTTTTTCGGAATAAATACCTTTAATAATAATTTAATAAATAAAAAATAAAGTTTGGGAAGTTTAAAAAAGGAAATTAATGGCACTTGGCGCGGGGAGGCCCAGCAGCAGCAGCGCCGCGAGGCCCCGTCGATAGCCGCTGCCCAGCCCGCGGCTCCGCGCGCGTTGTTTCGCCAGTTGTGCGGAATCTGCGGAGAAATTCGAAAACTTTAATTAAATTTGAAGAAATAAAATGAAGTTGAAGTTGGATCTGCAGCAACTTCTTCGTTTACGCCGCTGCTGGACAGACAGCCGAGCAGCCAGCGGCTGTCTGCTGCTGCTCGCTGCTTTCTGCTGCTGGCCGCCGCAACTCGGGGCTAAAACGCCGGCGAGTTGGTTTAATTTTCAGTTATTTATTTTATTTAATTTAATTAATAAAGAATTAATTCAAAAAAGAGGACCCGCGGCCACCCACCGCAGCCAGGGGCTGCGTTCTGCCTCCCAGTTGTGCAGGTGGATCGACAGGCTGGCGCGACACTGCTGCGGAAAACGAAAGAATGCAACAATTGTAGCTAAACAACCCTAAACCCTAAACCCTAAACCCTAAACCCTAAACCCTAAACAAATTAAAATAAAGTTAGAGGTTTAATTCGTTTATTCCATGCGGTTTCCGCTGCCCACAGAAAGTGGTGTGCCAGTACGCCGCCGCCAAGTGGTTGCCCCGAGCTGCACCCCTGCCTTACTTTTCGGCCATTTTAAACAAATAAAAGACAATAAAACGCACATTTGAAGATAAATATTCCGCAAATAACATTTTAAATAAATAAAAGACAATAAAACGCACATTTAGAGATAAATATCCCGCAAATAGCACTTTATTTGCTGCCTGGCAGTGCCGCCCCCGCCGCTCTTTGGCTTCTTTTTGCACATAAACACACAAGTGAATTGGTCTCTACGCCCTGGGGCTAGGGCTTAGGGTTTAGGGTTTAGGGTTTAGGGTTTAGGGTTTAGGGTTTGGAGCTCCTGTTGAAAAGATCGCAGAACGGCCCCGCGAGGCCCAGAGGCCGCAGACCTCCGCCTCCAGGCCAGTTGTTGGGAGCAGCAAAAGACGGCAAACAAATGAAGAGTCTTTGCCTTAAAAGAAGAACTTCTGTTCACTTTTAAGAACTTCTTTTGAAAGAAGTTCTTTTAAAAGAACTTCTTTTAAAAGAACTTCTGTTCACTTTTAAGAACTTCTTTTAAAAGAACTCCTTTTAAAGGAACTTCTGTTCACTTTTAAAGAGAATTGCTTTTAAAAGAACTTCTGTTCACTTTTAAAGAACTTCTTTTCACTTTTAAGAACTTCTTTTGAAAGAACTTCTTTTCACTTTTAAAAGAAATGCTTTTGAAAGAACTTCTTTTAAAAGAACTTCTGTTCACTTTTAAAGAACTGCTGTTCACTTAAAAAGGACTTCTGTTCACTTTTAAAGAACTTCCGTTCACTTTTAAAAGAACTTTTGTTGACTTCAAAAGAATAATTACTTATAAAAGAACTTCTGTTCACTTTTAAAGAACTTCTGTTCACTTTTAAAGAACTTCTGTTTACTTTTATAGAACTTCTGTTTACTTTTAAAAGAACTTCTATTCACTTTTAAAAGAACTTCTGTTTACTTTTAAAGAACTTCTGTTCACTTTTAAAGAACTTCTGTTCACTTTAAAAGAACAACTGCTGTTCACTTTTAAAAAGAACTGCTTTTAAAAGAACTTCTGTTGACTTTAAAAGAACTGCTTTTAACTTTCAAAAAAGAAGAACTTCTGTTAACTTTAAAGAACTGCTGTTGACTTTAAAAGAAGAACTGCTTTTAAAAGAACTTTTTTTAAAAGAACTTCTGTTGACTTTTAAGAACTTTTGTTAACTTTAAAGAACTGCTGTTGACTTTAAAAGAAGAATTGCTTTTAAAAGAACTGCTCTTCACTTTTAAAGAACTGCATTAAAAAGAACTTCTTTTAAAAGAACTTCTGTTCACTTTTAAGAACTGCTGTTGACTTTAAAAGAACTGTTTTTAACTTTTAAAAAAGAACTTTTGTCAACTTTAAAGAACTGCTTTTAATTTTAAAGAACTTTTGTTAACTTTAAAGAACTGCTGTTGACTTTAAAGAACTGCTGTTGACTTTAAAAGAAAGAAGAACTGCTGTTGACTTTAAAAAAGGATTTCTTTTAAAAGAACTTCTGTTGACTTTAAAGAACTGCTGTTAACTCTAAATGAACTGCTTTAAAAAGAACTTCTTTTAAAAGAACTTCTGCCCACTTTTAAATAACTTCTGTTGACTTTAAAGAACTTCTTTTAAAAGAACTTCTGTTCACTTTTAAGAACTGCTGTTGACTTTAAAAGAACTACTTTTAACTTTCAAAAAAGAAGAACTTTTGCTAACTTCAAAGAACTGCTTTTAACTTTAAATGAAAGAAGAACTGCTCTAAAAAGAACTGCTTTTAAAAGAACTTCTTTTAAAAGAACTTCTTTTAAAAGAACTTTTGTTAACTTCAAAGAACTGCTTTTAACTTTAAAAGAACTTCTTTAAAGAGAACTTCTTTAAAAAGGACTCCCTTTTATTTTAAAGAACTTCTTTTCAAAGAACTTCTTTTGACTTTTTAAGAACTACTTTTAACTTTAAATGAGAGAAGAACTGTTCTAGAAAGAACTGCTTTTAAAAGAACTTCTTTTAAAAGAACTTCTTTCAAAAGAACTTCTTTTAAAAGAACTTCTTTTAAAAGAACTTCTTTTAAAAGAAGTTCTTTTTGACTTTTAAGAACAGAATTTTAACTTTAAATGAAAAGAAGTCCCACATAAGACCTAAGAGAGTCTTCGCCGGCCGCGGGAGATTTTTTGCAAAACTGAAGTTCGAAATCTCCCGCGAAGGCTCGGCAGTTTGCTTTTCGAAAAAGCAAATTAAATGCAAAATGGAAAAGAAAGAATTGCAAAATGGAAAAGAAAGAAATGCAAAATGGAAAAGAAAGAAATGCAAAATGGAAAAGATTTAATGCAAAATGGAAAAGAATTTAATGCAAAATGGAAAAGAATTTAATGCAAAGTGGAAAAGAAAGAAATTGGATGCAAAATGGAAAAGAATTTAATGCAAAATGGAAAAGAATTTAGTGAACAAATGGAAAAGAATTAAATGCAAAGTGGAAAAGAAAGAAATTGCAGAAGAAGTGGAAAAGAATTAAATGCAAAGTGGAAAAGAATTAAATGCAAAAGTGGAAAAGAAAGAAATTGGATGCAAAATGGAAAAGAATTAAATGCAAAAGTGGAAAAGAATTAAATGCAAAATGGAAAAGAATTAAATGCAAAAGTGGAAAAGAATTAAATGCAAAAGTGGAAAAGAATTCATCTCCGAACTACCTCAGGTGCACCAGCATCAGCGCCGGGTTTTCCAGCAGGTTTTTGATGCTGAAAAAAAACAAAACAGCAAAAGCAAACAAAAGCATTTACAGTTAAACAATGCGCCAGCAGCAGCAGCAATGCAGCAGCAGCAGCAATGCAGCAGCAGCATTGCAGCAGCAGCAGCAGCATTGCACCAGCAGCAGCATTGCACCAGCAGCAGCATTGCAGCAGCAGCATTGCGGCAGCAGCATTGCAGCAGCAGCCGCAGCAGCATTGCAGCAGCAGCACTGCAGCAGCAGCATTGCAGCAGCATTAAAGCAGCAGCAGCAGCAGCACTGCAGCAGCAGCAGCAGCAGCAGCAGCAGCAGCAGACCTCCTGCTGAAGCGCGTGATGGTGGCGCCGTCGCAGTGGCGGTGGTCCGCAGAAAAGCTGCAGTTGACGACTTCGCGGGGCTCCACCGTTTTCTGTTTTTCGGCGGAGTCCGCGGAGGCCACGAAGCGCGGCAGCTGCTGCACGCGGCCCACGCCCACGATCACTGCCTGGCCGTCAAACAGCAGCGGGTGGATGTAAGTGCCTGCGCGCAAAACAAATAAAAACAAATAAAAAATAAATAAAAACAAATAAATAACAAATAAAAACAAATTAAAACAAATGAACTGCTGTTGTCTTTCCGGTGGTGTCTTTGGGGCGCATGCAGCAGCCGCAGCGCAGCGCAAACGGGGCGGAACCGCGCCGCCGGAAGCTCAAAAACCCCAAACCCTAAACCCTAAACCCTAAACCCTAAACCCTAAACCCTGCTGCAGGCGCAGAGCCCTCCAGTCACCTGATATCACTCCGACGTTCGACAAGGCAATTGTGCCGCCAGTGAGGTCTGCGGGGGAAAGGCGGTTTGCCTTTGCCTGCGAACAGCCCAGCGCATGCAGATCTGCCTGGAAAGCTGGGGAATTCTCCGGAAACTTGCAATTAAAATGTTCTAAAAAGGAAATTAAAGAGTTTTAAAACTCAAAACAACTCACTAGGCCCTGCAGGCGGACGAGTTCGCGCTGGATTTCCACCAAAGTCAGGTCTTGCACATTCTTCACGCACGGCACCACCAGCCCGCCCGGAGAGTCGATTGCAACACTGACATTGTGAGATCCGAACTCCGTGTACTGCAAAACAAGTCCCATTTCACTTTATTTGTTTTATTTTGAGTTTTGTGCATGCAAAAAGCTGCAGTTTTCCCCCGCAGCTGAGCAGCAGCTGCAGCGGGACAGGCTGCGGGCAGGCTCACCGAGTTCTGCGTTTCCGTGTTGAACTTCGAGTTCACTATTGGGTATTCGTTTATGGCCAGGCTTATGGCTTTTATCAAAAAGGCTGTCAGGGAAATTCGAATGTTCTGAGAGGCCAACTCTTTGTTCAGCGCGTGGCGCAACTCAGTCAAACGCGTGATGTCGTATTCGTCGCCGATGTTCATGTGCGGCACTTTCAGAGAGTCCGTCATCGACTGCAACAAGCAGCAGCAGCAAACCCACAGCAGCAGCAGCAGCAGCAGCAGCAGCAGCAAACATTTGCTGCTGCTGCTTGCGGCAGCAAAGCCGATCGCCCACCCACTCTGCGCTGCTCCCAGTGACCACAACGTGAACCTGGAGGAAACCTCTGCACCAAACATCTAATTCTTATTAAAAATGACTCGATATAATGAAAAAGAAGAAAAGAAAGTCAAATAAAACCAAATTAAAACCCCCACCTTCACCATTGCCTTCGAAAAGCCCTGCAAAACCACTTCGCGGTTTCCGCGGCTCTGCCGCGGAGCCGGGGGGCTCTGGGCTGCGCCGGAGTTGTCTTCGCCTGCGCTGCTCTGGGGCTCCTGGGGGTGCAGCACAAAGAAAAGAGGCATTTAATTGGATTTTCCGAGCCTTTTCAGTCTCTGAGTCTCAGAAAATATGTTTTAAGAAGTGCAAATTAAATTAAAACAATTAAAACGATAAAAATTGAGCACAGAGGCTCCAGCGGAGAGGCTGTTGCAGAAAATGTGCTGTGTGCTGCTGCTGTACACCTTGACACAGAATTAAAAGACCTCTTGAGATATAACTTCAAAAATATACTCCAAAAATGTGCAACTTGAAACAAAATGAAACTCCCTGCGCATAATATGACTCAAGACGATCCACTCTAAGGATGTGCAACTTGAAATAAGGCAAGACGGCTTGCGTGCAGAGGCTCGAGGGAAAAGACAATTCCAGAAAGTACACTCTAAAGACATGCAATTTAAAATAAAATAAAATAAAATAACTTGAGCAAAAGACTATTTCGGGAAACATGTTCTAAAAATGTGCAACTTGAAATGAAATAAAGGACAACGGATTGCGTACAGAGGCTCCAGAGGAAAGGTAATTCAGCACGTCTTCCTTCGTGATTGCTCCGCGGGCTCCAGTGCCCTTCACAGCTTCCAAATTAACTCCTTTTTCTTTTGCAAAACGGCGGACTGCGGGAGAGGCAAGAGCCTCTGCGCCCTAAGCGAAGAAGTTGGAAGAAAAGAAGAGGCAAAACCACACAGAACAACAGCGATCAACTCCAATTTCAAAGGCATTTATGTTTTTAATTCAAAAGATAAACAAATAGTGCTGGAGGAGCAATTAAGGCTGGCCTCATTGCCTCTTTTCTGAAATGGAAATGCACGAAAACACCAGAGTCCGCACGAAGTAATGGAGTCTGGGGTTTCTGTCTGCGGCGAAGTCCTTTGGTCTAGCAACTGAGGCTCTAAAAGTGTACTCGCAGGCCAGAAAAGAGCAAAAGAAATCTCTAAATTTGCTGCAGCAGATGCAGCAGCAGCACAAACTGCTTACTTTGCTGGAGGAAGCAGCAGCTGAGGGCTGCTGGGGTTTGCTGGCTTCGCTCGGGGGGGGAGCAGCAGGTGAAGGCGGCTGGCTCTGAGTTTCTTCAACATCTGGGGAGTCTATGTCAATTAAAGGGGCCCCAATCTTCACAGTATCTCCTTCCTGAAGAAGTTAAACATTAAAAAACAAAATATGTCGAAATTAAGCGGGCCAATTTGCCTTTCCGCGCCGCCTGTGGGCAAATGGAATTCAGCTTTCCCGAGCTGCAGCCTACGCAGTTCAACTTTCTGAACATGTGCTGCAGCAATCTGCACTAATGCAGCTTTATTTGTCTTTTGAATTCCTTTTAATTGCTTCAAGAAGCGAAGAAACTCACCTTGGCGTACAGTTTGACGATCTTTCCAGAATAACGACTTGTGATTTCAACTGCGGCTTTGTCCGACTGCACCTCGCAGACCTCCTCCATCTGCGTTTTAAAAGAAAGAGAGAACACAAATCAAACAGAAAATTCCTTTTAAGGCTTGTTGGGAATCAGATGCAAGAAAACAGAAACAATTTCTCCCCCGCATTGCTTCGCCTTAGCTGCATCATTGTAGCCAGCAAGCAGGTCAGATAAGAAGCTGCTGTTTTGCTGTTCTATTCAGGCACTGCGGCCGTGACAAATCCCCTGGAAATTAAAAACAAAGTTCTTAAATATCTTCTCTCGTGCTTTGGGGGAATGGGACATAGAGAAATCCCACTGCATACCTCCTCCACAGTGTCGCCGGTTTTCTTGTACCATTTCGTCAGCTCAACAGACGCAATGCCTGAAGAATCACAACACAAATAAGAAACTCCGGCTTCAATGGCACGCTAAATGCAAAGAAGAAGCATTGAATTGTATTTAAATACCTTTTCATTTATTTATTCACTCTAACTGCGCAGAAAAACAGTTCAGCTGCCTCGAGGGAGCTTCAGTTCCCGCCGAATTGCAAATGCACCTTCGCCTATGTCCGCAAGCTTGAAGCAAACAATGCCGTGGCGAGGATGTGACACAGTGAAAAGGCCCTGCAGTGGCAGCAGCAAAGTCCCAGAGCAGCAGCAGCAGCAGCTGCAGCAGCAGTTCTGTTTGCGAAACAAACGGGCGGAAGCAGCACTTCACTGACGCGGCAGCTGCTGCCGCTGCTGCAGCAGCAACAGCCGCAGCAACAGAGTTTATTTATATTACGCCGAAGAAATTGCCCGGATTTTCACTCAGGAGGCGCTGGCAAAGCCCAGCACTTGAAATGGAAAGGCACATTCTGTGGACTCCAGACTTAGACGCATGCGCTGCAGCGTTTGCGCTCGGAATAGAAAGACAAAACAAAACCAAACTTGTTTGTCCTCTTTAATGCGCGGAAACTGCTTTCTGGAAAGAAGACTGCAGCTTTTTTTCCGGTTCAGGAAGCAGCAGAAGCCTCGGGACTGCCGCACAAGCAGCATGAGATGAAGCCGCGCAGCCCGCGGCGCGAAGCACCAGTCCAGCAAAATGTGTTGAACTCAGAGGCTGCAGAAGGCTCTAAAAGGGCCTTCTGGCGCCATGTTCGCGCTTTCTGCCGCGCTGCAGAGGCCTTTCCCTGGCTTACTCTGGTGCTGGCGGAGCTCCCGAGCCCCTCCTGGCGCAGACGGAGGGAAACGGCGGCAGCTGGAGACAGCCATGTGCTGCATTTGCCAATAGGTGAGTGGGAAGAAGCGGCTGCGGCGATGCGGCCCAGAGAACGCGCGGCGAACGCCATAGTCGGGGTGCTCGGACGGCGACAGAAGATGGCGACGGCGACCGTGGAAACTCCGAATCCACCTCTAGCACACCAGCAAAAACGTGTCTATATTACATAATTTGGGGAAAAGCGCGAACTATTTGCGCGAAAGAAAGCTTTCGATGTCGGCGTTGTGGGGCTTCCTGCCGCAGAAGACGCGACCGCCCTGCCGGCAGGTACGCGGACGAACTCTCCTTTCTCTCCCCCTCAAACGCATTTATTCAAATTTAAATGTCAGTTCAAAGGAAAACAGCCGCTGCTTTCAAGTCAAACGAGAGGCTATTTCCCACTGCCTTTCCTGCACGGCCAGCTTGTTGCTAGACGCCTGTCCGCGCTGCGGAGGTTCTGCTGGCAGCAAATTCCCTTTTTTGGGAACTTAAACTCTTTTAAAAAGGTCAAAATGTTCAAACGAGACTTTTTGAACTGCTCAGAACGGGACGGTGGGGAGCAGTTTGGGATTTCTCCCTTCTTTCCGAATTGCATCCAAGGGCCCCCTGTGAACTGCTGCAGTGCCAGCGGCTTTCTGGAAATTTGTCCTGCGAATACAACACTTCAAAAGATGGAATTAAACATTTAACTTGCTTGGTGTTTCTTTGTCCTGCATAGATCTGCAGAGGTGTGTAGCTGCAGCAATTCCTGCTGCTTTCCCGCGGCCATAATCTGAACACGCAAGTCCAATCTTGCATGTCCTGTTCTCCAGCTTAAATCTATTGCTGTTCTACTGCTTTATGTGCGCTGTTTGGTGACAAACAGGACCAGAGTGGCTTGCAGTTTGCGTTTTCGAAGAAGCAACAGTAAATATAAAATATATAGAATAGACTAGACTTGAACTGGCCAGCCCAGTAGAAGCTGTAGAAGAGCCTGGCCCAGGGCCTCCCCGGCGAACAACTGCGGAGAACTCACCCACAGAAAGAACTCCTGGCCTTCCTAGTGTTCTATTTTGCTGCTTCGAGGGGCTGGACAACAGCTTGGGACAAATAAAGTAGTTATTAAAGGAGTTTTGGAACTTAGGCTCAACTCAGACTCCTCTTCTGTGCTTCTCATGAAGGCCACGGGGCGCAGCAGAGCAGAACGGAGCGAAACTTGAGCCGACAAGAGGCACCGGGGTTTTCTGTTTGCCAATTGTTTTGTTTAATTAATAAATTTGAATTCAAGTTCAGAAAAAGGAGTTCAGAATATATCCTCTTCGCTGCTTTCCACGCAGACTATACACACAGCCTACCCCTGCAGGGAATGTCAACATGCAAGTAATATTTGCTGCAAAGACACTCTTTGGCATGCAGCTTTCCACACTTGAGTGCTAAAGTTGCTTTGCTGCTGCTGGTATTATTCTCGTTCTGCATTTCTCAGGCTATTTCGCTTCCCCAGCCAAAATATATTCCAAAAATGGCAAAATTTGGCGAAGTTGGCAAACATAGTCTTTAATCCCGGTGCACCCGATAATGTGGAACGCTTGAAAGTGTTTTCTGAGCTTTTCAAACATGAAACTCTTCAGCATTTCATGAAAAGTTTGGAGTTTGTAGCCAGCAGAACATTGTCTAGCACTATTTATTTGCTGGAGGCTGTTGGGCTTCTGGAAGCGCACATATATTGCCATTCGGCTTCACGAATTTGCAATTAAAATTGCTAAAGTTTCACCAATTTCGAAGTTAAATGACTCAGTATCTGCGAATATAGAGCGGCAACATGACCCCCTAGTGGCAGTTTCTGACAGCATTGCCTCCTGCCATATGAAGTTATATGAAGTTCCCAAGAAGCTTTCGTGCAGGATCTGGACAGTGCATGAAAGTAAATCTTTATTTTGCACATTTTTTCAAGTAGGAGAAGTTCTGTGGACAGAAATATAAGCAGGACAAGGCACTGGGCAGGCGTGTTCGCGGCGACAGTGCAGAAGTTCATTTCAAGTGTGATATTTGGCGAAGTCGAGCTGCGCCTTTTGATCTTTCTATTTTTTAATTCATATTTGTTTATCATTCGGCGTGCAGCACTCAGTATAAAGTGATGTTTCGAGTGTGCTTGCAGAGCAGTCAGCGGGGAGGAACCAAGCGCTCGCGGGGTCGTAAAAGACTGCGGCGCACTGGAATCCCGGCTTGATCTGGGGAAAACTGGCGAAAACTTTGCACGAAAAGTCTTAAAATGTTTGAAATGCTTTAAAAAGAAAGAGAATTTCGCCAGTCTTTGCGTCGCCAGAAGATGGAAGGAGGTGAACCCCCCCCCCGCAAGCTGCATGGAGCGAGGGAGCGGAGGGGCCGGAAGACGCGGCGGAAGTGGGCGAAACGGGAATTGGCGAGGAAAAAAGAACTTGAAAAAGAAACGGAAAACATTTTAGAGATTAATTGCAGCAGAGGATTCTGCATTTGCGCAGTTTTCAACGGAACAGAGGAGTATTCTGTGGGGCTTATTCTTGAATCTGATCGGTCCTTGCGGGCGTTCTTGAAAACGAAAGCGAGCCACCCCGCGCAGCCTGTTCGTTTCTCGGCGTTTTTAATTGCTGCGCATTATTTTAAAGAAATAATTAATGTGTGGCGGCCTCAGTTTCGTTAGTTTGCAGCGCGCGTAGAGAAGACTCGGAACTTGCACGTGGCTGGTGGGAAGAAGAGGATGGGCGCTCTGTGGGGGTTTCAGAGGCTTCTCTGAACTTCTGCGCGGCTCTTCTGTTTCCTTTTGTGCATTAAAAGTTGAATTATTTCCCTTAAAAGTTTAGTTTGCGCAGTTTTCGACGGCTTCCCGAGCGATCTGCCCCCCGCGAGCGAAGCTGCACGGAGCAAGTGGCCTTGCAGGACTTGGCGCAGTGAAGATGGCGCAAGAAGGCGAAGTGGGGCAGCTGGGCGCTGCTGCTGCTGCTGTTGCTGCTGCTGCTGCTGAGCCGCAGCAGCCCGCGTCGCAAGCGCCGCTGCTCGCGGAAAAAGCAGCACCGCCGCAGCAGCAGCAGCAGCAGCAGCAGCAGCAGCAGCAGCAGCAGTTTGGGGGGGCCGAGCTGGAAGTGCCCCGCGGGGACTTCAAGCGGGAGGGCCTGGGGGGCGGGTTCAGCGTGGGATCGGCGCTGCTGGGGAGTCTGGGGCTGCTGCTGCTGCTGCTGCTGCTGGACGCGTTTGTGCTGCCGCTGCAGCGGCCGCTGGCCGTGGCCAAGAAGCCCTCGCTGGGCATTTTGCTGCCGCTGCCGCCGCCCACGGGGCCCCCCAGCGCCTTCGAGGGGGCCCTTGCTGCTGCAGCGCAGCAGCTGGAGGAGGCCTGGGGGGGGGCCTCTGCTGCAGTGCGGGAGGCCTTCCAGCAGCACTTCATGCCGCCGGGGGGGCCCCCCGAGGGCATAGAGGTCTACAGGAAGCTGGTGCGGGCCATGCAGCAGGTGGGGGCCCCCGGGGGGCCCCCCGCGCAGCAGCGGACTTACAAGTTGAACTTGCTGCTGCTGCAGGGGGTCTGCGGCGCTGCAGCACAGCTGCTGCAGGGGCTGCGGCGGATGGAGCTGCTGCACGAGGAGACTGGGGTGCCTGTGCTGCTGCTGGGGAAGGCGGCGAGCCCGGAGTTTAGCCGGCGCGAAGAAGCAGCAGCAGCAGCAGCAGCAGCAGCAGCAGCAGCAGCAGCAGCAGGGGAGGGGGGGCCCCCGGGAGTGACCCTGCGGGAGTTTCTCGCGGGCTTCGGACTCGAGGAAGAACTGCCCTCCAGGGCCCGAGTTCCTGCTGCTGCTGCTGCTGTGCTGCAGGACCTGCTGAAGCTGCGGCTGCTGCAGGAGAGCAGCAGCAGCAAAGCCTTCCAGAGCTTCCGGCCGCTGCTGGCTGCGCTGGGGCTGGACTCCCCGCTGCTGTTCCCCGAGCCGCAGCAGCAGCAGCAGCAGCAGCTGCTGCTGCTCTTCGCCCAGGGCTGCTTCGACCTCGAGGCCTTCGTGCTGCACTGCCGCAAAGAGAACTTCTACAAAAGACCTTCCGATCTTTTCTTCCAAGACCTTCTTTGGCGCCTCGCGGCCAATTGGACTTCGCCAAAAATCGCAGAATTCACTGAAGAACAAATCCCGGACTTGGAGTATTTAATTGAAAAAGAAAAAACTCAAAAACGCATTTTTCTAGAAATGGACAAGTGGGGGCCCCAGGGGCTGGGGCCCCAAGACATTAATGCTCTTGTTAGGTATCTTCTTTGAGTTTTTTTTTCTTTTTTTTTCTTTTTTTTCTTCTTTTTGCTTTTTTCTTCCTTTTATTCTTCTTGTTCTTCTTTTGCTCTTTATTTTGCTCCTTTTTTCCTTCTTTTTCCGTTTTTTCTTCTTTTTTTCTTCTTTTTTTTCTTTTTTTTTCTTTTTTTTCTTTTTTTTCCACTTTGGCACTTTGCTGCTTCTCGGCCTCAAAGGCAGAGTCCGGCCTCGCCCCTGCAAGTCCAGGCGCCGCTTTGAAACAATTGGCCATCTTTGGCCCCTTTTGCTGCAGTTTAGCCAGCAGCAGCAGCAGCAGCAGCAGCAGCAGCAGCAGCTGCAGCAGCAGCAGCAGCTGCAGCAGCAGCAGCAGCTGCTGCTGCTGCTGAAGTCTCTACAGCTGCAGCAGCAGCAGCAGCAGCAGCTGCTGCTGAAGTCTCTAAACTTCACTTTTCCTTCTCAGCCTTTTCGGCTGTGCCCTGCTGCTGCTGCTGCTGCTGCTGCTGCTGCTGCTGCCTCGCCTACAGCTTCCTGCAGCGCCTGAAGCAGATTCTCCCTCAGTTGTTTTCCACTTTTTCTGTCTTGAGAGTTTTTCTCCATTTTCGCCAAATTATTGCAAATTATTGCAAATTATTGCAAATTATTGCAAATTATTGCAAACTATTGCCAAATTATTGCCAAGTTGTTGCCAAATTATTGCAAATTATTGCAAATTATTGCCAAATTATTGCCAAATAACTGCCGAATAACTGCCAAATTACTGCCAAATAGTTGCCAAATAGTTGCCAAATAGTTGTCAAATTATTGCAAATTATTGCCAAATAACTGCCGAATTATTGCCGAATTATTGCCAAATAACTGCCAAATTATTGCCAAGTAGTTGCCAAATAGTTGGCAAATAATTGGCAAATTATTGCCAGATTATTGCCAAATAATTGCCAAATTCTTGGCAAATAACTGCCAAATAGTTGCCAAATAACTGCCAAATTATTGCCAAACAGTTGCCAAAGAATTGCCAAAAAACTGCCAAATAATTGCCAAATAACTGCTAAATAATTGCCAAATAATTGCTAAATAACTGCTAAATAATTGCCAAATAATTGCCAAATAATTGGCAAATAATTGGCAAATAATTGCCAAATAGTTGGCAAAGAATTGCCAAATAGTTGGCAAAGAATTGGGGAAAAGAACTCTTCTGTGGTGTCCTGAGAGCTGAAGTCGAGTCTTGTGAATTGAGTTGCGATTTACTTTGAATTTGCGCTACAGAAAGCTGGCTGAAGAACTGGAGGAAGTAAAAAGCTTTTAAAACATAAATATAAATAAAGTGGCTTTTTATTGAAGAGTTTAGAAGCCTCGGACTCGGCCAAACAGCGCTGAAGGCTGCACTGGCTGGCGGCAGTGAGACTCCTGCAAACGCTGGAGCCGCGGACTTGGCGAGACTTGGCGTTCCTTTCGAATCTCCTGAGGAGTTTAATTTGGAATTAAAATTATAAAATTAATTTTGGAGTCGTTTGTGGCTGTGGGACGCATCTTTGCAAGAGGCGGCGCCGGGGTTCGGAAGACGCGGCTCGCGAAGGCAAACTACGCGCCGCCCCACTTCCCACGCAAACCCACCCAAGTCGCCAAAAAAGGCATTTAAATTGCAAAAAAGGATTTTATTTTGAAATGAACTTCGACTGGCGCGTCGAGAAGGCGCAGTCGCGCGCGAGTGAATCGAGGTGTTCGGGTGTACAGACGCTCGCGCCGCGCCCGCGGTGGTAACCCGCGAGTCCCGCGGGTCCGAGGCGTTTCAGTGGAGGATAAAGGGAGCTGCATAAATATAAATAGTTGAATAATTATTATTAAAGGGGCAGCGGCGGAAGAAGCAGCGGGGCGGAGCCGCGGGCGCACCCCAGCTGCTCGCTCGGAGGCGGTGGTGCCTCGACTGGAGCCAGTCAGTGCTCGACGCGCGCTGCGCCGCGGCTGCAGCCTCTGTCGCGGAGCAGTTGTCTTTTATTTTGCATTTAAATTCGAATTAACTCGCGAAGTTCCTTTTTCGGAGACGCAGCTGCTGCGTGTGCGGCCTCTGCGCAGTCCGCCCACGCAGCCTCGATCTCACAGCTGGTCACAGCCGCGGGCACGCGCGCTGCTGCCCAGCGGCGCCCCCAGTTGAGCGAAGCGCTTGTGGGCTTAGCGGCGCGCAGATGGCGGCGAGTTTTCCCGCGGAGGCTGCAGCAGCAGCAGCAGCAGCAGCAGCAGCAGCAGCAGCAGCCGAGGAGCCCGAGGCCTACCCGCTGGCCGCTGCTGCTGCTGCCGCCGGCCCCGAGGCCCTCCAGGGGCCCCAGGGGGCCCCAAATGGTACTTTTTGGGACCCTGAGTTCTACAAACTTCCCGAAGAAGACACCAGGGGCCCCCGGGGCCCCCGGCGGGCCTTCAGGGCTGCAGCAGTGAAGGCCTTTTTGGCTCTGGCGGTTTTGCTGCTGCTGAGCTTCTCCATTGTGGACATAAAGCCCTCGAGCGCTGCAGCAAGGCCTCCTTCCCCAGCCCTGCCCCGCAAGCCCGCAGCAGCAGCAGCAGCAGCAGCAGCAGCAGCAGCAGAAGCAGCAGCAGCAGCAGAAGCAGCAGCAGCAGCAGCAGCGGAAGGAGCAGCAGCAGCAGCAGCAGAAGCAGAAGAAGCAGAAGTAGAAGAAGCAGAAGAAGCGGAAGAAGAAGAAGCAGAAGAAGAAGAAGAAGAAGAAGCGGGCGAATTAGCAGCAGGAGACATAGAAGGAGCAGCAGCAGCAGAAGCAGCAGCAGCAGCAGCAGCAGCAGCAGCAGCAGCAGCAGAGGGGGGAGAGCTGTTCCCAGACCTGGAGGGCTCTGTGGAGTTCTACCAAGAGAGCTTCGAAGCTGCTGCTGACCAGCTGGAGGCTCTGTGGGAAAGGGCCTCTCCGGCAGTGCAGCGGGCCTTCGGGCAGCACTTCGTGCCTCCGCAGCGTGCTGCTGCTGCTGTACAAGCGGCACGTGGAGGCGCTGCGGGCCACCCCGCGGCCAGCAGCAGCAGCAGAGCTGCGGCTCTTCAAACTCAACTTGCTGCTGCTGGAGGCCCTCTGCAGCAGCGCAGCAGAAGTGCTGCGCAGCCTCCAAGACATGCAGCAGCTGCACGAGGCCACGGGGGTGCCGGTGCCTCTTTTGGGTTTGGGGGGCCCCCTGGAGCCGCTGCTGGCGGGGGCCCTGGGGGGCCCCCCGGGGCGGACCAGTGGTCTGACCAGTGGGGTGACCAGTGGTCACATGACTTTGGGGGAGTTTCTGGGCGACTTGGGGCTCCCCAGCAGCGGCGTTTCGCGGGCCAAAGTGCCCCGCAGACTGGGGCTGCTGCTGCAGAACATTCTCGAGCTTAAGCAGCTGCAGCAAGACTGTTTTTTGAAGGCTTTTGCCAAGTTCGAGCCGCTGCTGCAGGCCCTGGGACTCAGCCGCGAAAACGGGTACCCGCGGGGGCCCCCGCTGCCGCTGCTGTTCGCGGCGGGGGAGTTCGACGCGGCGCTGCTGGCGCTCAGCAGCAGCGCAGCAGCAGCAGCAGCAGCAGCAGCAGCAGCAGCAGCAGCAGCGCCGCTGGCCGCGGTCTTGGGGGACAAGTGGAACCCCAGGGCTGTTGCGGACTTCGCCGCAGATCAGTTTTTCGAAATCCAATTTTTAATTAACTCCGCAGCCAACGCGAAGGCGGCGACTCTGCGGCTTTCCAAGTGGGGGCCGGGGGGTCAAGACACCGCAGGAGTCTTTGCTCTCGCGAGGTTTCTTCTTTAGAGTTGTCATTTCTTTTCTTTTGCACTTTGCTCGTTTTGTCTTCACTCTTTTTTTCTTTTCTTTTCTCTTCTGCTCTTTTGCTCTTTCTTTGCTCCATTTCTTTCTCTTCAACAGCTTTTATTCCAGTTTCTTTTCTCTTCAAAAAAAACAACTTTTGTTTTCCAACTTCTTTTCTCTTCAAAAAAAACAACTTTTGTTTTCCAACTTCTTTTCTCTTCAAACAAAACAACTTTTGTTGCCAACTTCTTTTCTCTTCAAAAGGACTTTGAAGGATTTAAATGAACTTCCTCTTTGAAGGATTTAAATAAACTTCTTCTTTGAAGGATTCAAATAAACTTCTTCTTTGAAGGATTCAAATAAACTTCTTCTTTGGAGGATTTAAATGAACTTCTTTAAAGGATGAACTTCTTCTTTAAAGGATTCAAATGAACTTCTTCTTTAAAGGATTTAAATGAACTTCTTCTTTGAAGGATTCAAATGAACTTCCTCTTTAAAGGATTCAAATGAACTTCTTCTTTGAAGGATTTAAATGAACTTCTTCTTTAAATGAACTTCTTCTTTGAAGGATTTAAATGAACTTCTTCTTTGAAGGATTCAAAAGACTGCGCCAAAACCCACTTGTCACTTCTCAACTGGAATTTGAACTTGCGGGGAATTCCCCGCAAGGAGTTGATTAATTCTTTTCTTTTCTTTTTTAATTCGAATTAATTTCTTTTTCAATAAATGGAAAAGACTTTTCTTTTTCAATAAATGGAAAGACTTTCTTTTCCGTTGCGTTTTTCCTTTGCGCGCTGGTCAGCGCCAACCTCTCCAACTGCCAACAGCGGCGAAGTTGGAGAACTAATTTGAATTTGAAGGAAAAACGAAAAAGATTTGTTCAATTAATTCAACTTTTGTTTATTATTCAGAAAATAAGGGCCAATAAAAGCTCAAAAAGGCCCCAAATGAATTAAAATGACCAACAACGAACCACTTTTGAATGCCACACTGAATTTGCCAACAAGTGCACTTCTGCTGCACTTCTGTTGGAACTAAAACGCCTTTATTGTTTTAAAAGACTCAACAAACTCTCTTGTGCATTTTTTGTCTTTTATTTCCACAGAGTCCTTTGTTTAAAGTGCACTTATTAGTCTTTCAGAAGAGAAATGAAAACTTGGAAATCTGAAGTGAAATAAATGCATGCAAAGACACAAAACAATCTGCAAAGTCCTGTCTTCTCTTTGCTGAGTTGGAGTCCCAAACTAATGCCACTTCTTTCCAAGAGAAGTCCCTTCAAAGAGGCTTCGAACTGTTTAAAAAACTTCCAGCAAATTCAGTAAAGATTTGCAGATCGCACTGAGACTCAGTTAGGCAGTCAGAAGTTCCTTTTATACTCTCAAAGAGATATATAAAAATCTATTTGCTGAAGTTCCTTTTATACTCTCAAAGATATAAATAAAGATCCATTTGTTGAAGTTCCTTTTATAGTCTCAAAGAGATAAATAGAGATCCATTTGTTGAAGTTCCTTTTATACTCTCAAAGAGGTATAAAAAGATCCATTTGTTGAAGTTCCTTTTATATTCTCAAAGAGATATATAAAGATCCATTTGTTGAAGTTCCTTCTATACTCTCAAAGAGATATAAAGAACTCTCAAAGATATATATAAAGATCTATTTGTTGAAGTTCCTTTTATATTCTCAAAGAGATATAAAGATCTATTTGTTGAAGTTCCTTTTATATTCTCAAAGAGATATATAAAGATCTATTTGTTGAAGTTCCTTTTATATTCTCAAAGAGATATAAAGATCTGTTTGCTGGGCCTCGCGGGAAGCTGTAGTTGGGTTTTATGTTTGAGTTGCAGCAAGCAGCTTTGCTGGCTGCTGAGGAAGTTGAAAAGCCAAGAGCTGCTGCTGCTGCTGCTGCTGCTGCTGCTGCTGCTGCTGCTGCTGCTGCTGCTGCTGCTGCTGCTGCTGCTGCAGGTGTTCAGCAGCAAAGTGCGCCTTGGAAGCCTGGGCTGAGAGGATGGCTTTCTGACTCTCAAACTGCTGCAATTTAATTTAGTTTTGGCAATTCAGTTAATTCTTTTGCTTCAATTGCCAAAAACTAAATTAAATTGCAGCAAAACGAGCTGCTGGACTGGGCCTGCAGCCAAGATGTTCTTTTTCTGAGTTTGAGCCAATGCGGACTTTAGATTAAAATGCTTCTCGCTCATCTGTTCTCTCCTTGAAGCAGCTCGAGCTGCTGCTGAAGGAGCTGCTGCTGCTGCTGCTGCAGCAGCTGCTGCTGCTGCTGCTGCTGCTGCTGCTGCTGCTGCTGCTGCTGCTGCTGCTGAAGCAGCTGCTTGTGAATGAGCTGCTGCTTCAGCAGCTGCTGCTGCAGCAGCTGCTGCAGCGCCACACAGTATTGGACTTTCTGCACTTCTGGATCTGCTGCTTTCCTGAGAGACTTGGAGGCAAAAGGCCAGCCTCTTTAAAGCACAAGTTGCTGCAGCAAAGCTGCGCATGCAGCCACCACTTTGCCTTTTGCTGCAGTGTCTTTCTTTAAGGGAATCCTCTTCGCCGCTGGGAGCAGAAGCTCCGGAATGCATGCAGCTTCAGTTATTCTCTTTTAGTTCTTTTTATTCTTTTAAAAAGAACAGTTCTTTTTATTCTTTTAAAAAGAACTAAAAGAGATTTTTATTCTTTTAAAAAGAACTAAAAGAGAATAATTGAAACTGCGTGAAGTGTTTTCTCCGCAGCTACGCGGCAGCAGCCTTGTCTGGCAGTCCTTGAGACTGGGATTTGTGACGGCTCGTAACCGCTGAGACAAGACCCTAAACCCTAAACCCTAAACCCTAAACCCTAATCCGTAAACCCTAAACGAAAGACTTCAAAAAGACTTCCTCCGAACCTTAAACGCCTTCGAGGGGCTTTCCTGGGCTGGCTTTCCAGCTGTGTACATCAAACTTCAGACTCTGCTGCTCATACAAGAACTGCTTTTATTGGCGAAGTTCCAGAAGGCCAAAAGCAGAAAGCTGTGAGTGTTTTGTGCAGCAAAAGTAAAAGGAAAGCTTTGCTGCAGCGCAGAGCTCGCTGTGCAGCCCAAGGCAATCTACAGAAGACTTCTGCGCCTCGAAAGCAGCTTTGTCTTCAAGTCCAGGGAAAAATCTGACGGAATAATCCTTAATTATGGCAAATTTAACCACTAATTATGTAAAGAGGAATGAAATTAGCTGTTATAAGCTGCGGGTTTCCCGCTTTTGGCAGCCGAAACCGGAAACTGCTGCAAAGATATTCAAGTTGAGATCACTCATGTTCAATGTTTCCGTTTTTGCGCCTCAGCGCCAGCAAGCCGCCCCACAGATAATTGAAATTCATAAATTATTTTATTAATTGCCATTTTAGTTTTTGTTTCAGCCATTTAGGCTGCTAGGGAGGCAAAGCGTTGCTGCAGGATCTAGTGGGTTGGCTCTCGGGGCTGGGGCCCCTCGCTGCAGGCCTTCTTGTCTGTTTCCATTGTTTGAATTGGAATAGTTTTAAGTCTTTTAAACAATTAAATTCAACTAATTATAACTGCTGTGCCCGCCTGAGACTCACTAACGCATGCGCGTGCTTCAACATGTACAAATTACCCCGTTTCGATAGTCAGGGCTCACGGGTTTAGGGTTTAGGGTTTAGGGTTTAGGGTTTAGGGTTTGGGGGCTGGCGCGGCGCCTCGTAACAATGGAATCCAACTGTGCATGCGCCGCTCCTACTCGTGGGGCCCTTAATTCGTGCGATTCGTTTCTCGTTGAGGCGTTGCAGCTGCTGCTGCGCAGCAGCAACTCACCCGCTGCTGCTGCTGCTGCTGCTGCTGCTGCTGCTGCTGCCTGTGCTGCTCTGCAGCTTGGGCCTGCCAGGCCCCAGGGCTCAAGCAGCTCGCAGCCAGCAGAGGTGAAGGACGCGCTGGATTCTCTCTTTGCTGATGCAGCAGCAGCAGCTGCTGCCGTTGCTGCTGCTCAGCAGCCAGCAGGAGCAGCAGCAGCAACAGCAGCAGCAACAGCAGCAAATGCTGCTGCGGACAAAGGCAGCAGCAGCAACGTAAGCTTCGGAAAGGAATGGGTGTTGGAGACTTGGGGGGCTCACTTCAGGCAGCACCTTGCCGCCCAAAGTCGTGCTGCGTCACTGCGGCCTGCTGCTGCTGCTGCTGCTGCTGCTGCTGCTGGCGCCCCTGCTGCTGCTGCTGCTGCTGCTGCTTCTGAAGGGCAGCTTGAAAGCCTTCAAGGTTTGGCTTCCGCTTTAATGCAAGCAGCAGACAGCCTCGCGAAGCTCCGGACCCCAGCTAAGGCTGGAGCAGCGGCGCCGCACGCAGCAGCAGCAGCAGCAGCAGCAGCAGCAGCAGCAGGTGCTGCTGCTGCTGAAGCAGCAAGAGGAGACATTCAAGGGATGGGCTCAAGAGCTTCAGGTGTACAGACACCGAAGGCTGCCCTGAACGGCTTGGCGCTGTCTCCCGCTGCTGCTGCTGCTGCTGCTGTTGTGTATGCGCAGTTCTGCTGCTGGTGGCTTAACCTGCTGCATCAGCAGCAGCAGCAGCTGCTGCTGCAGCAGCACCAATCCAGCGGCGTAGAGGGGAAGCTTCAGCGGCTCTGCCGCTTGCTGCAGCAGATTCTTCTCGTTCTGTCTCCGCTCCATCTGCAAGCAACTAGCAGCAGCAGCAGCAGCAGCAGCAGCAGCAGCAGCAGCAACGTCGGAGAAGTAGTGGCCTGTCCTTCAGCACTGCTTTGCAAGTGTTGGACATTGTGCACGCAGCAGCAGCAACAGCAGCAGCAACAGCAGCAGCAGCAGCAGCAGCAGCAGCAGCATAAGGAGAGGCCAGGTGGCCCTGGCTCTGCTGTGACGCTTTGCTACGCTCGCCGCCTTCTACGGGGACTCTGTCAGCCAGCAGCAGCAGCAGCAACAGCAAAAGAAGACACAGCAGCAGCAGCAGCAGCAGCAGCAGCAACAGCAAAAGAAGACACAGCAGCAGCAGCAGCAGCAGCAGCAGGCATGAGCTTGGAAAAACGCAGCGCTGCAGCAGCTCTGAAGCAATTTGCTGCCTTTACAGCCGCAGAAATCCCTCGTGCAGCTCTGCTGCAGTCCATCAAGCAGCAAACAGAGCAGCAGCAGCAGCAGCAGCAGCAGCAGCAGCAGCAAGACATATATCTCCTGGAGGGGCCGTTGGAGCTCTGCTTCACTACGCTGCTGCATGACAATGTGGACAGTTTTTCAGCAGCAGGAGCAGCAGCAGCTGCTGCAGCAACAACACAAGAAGCTGAAGCAGCAGCAGCAGCAGCTGCTGCAGCAGCAACACAAGAAGCTGAAGCAACAGCAGCAGCAGCAGAAGGACTAAGTTGGGGCCTCTCTTCCCTCGGAGCCCTTATTTGGAGGCTTCCTTGCATGCAGCACCTGCTTTCTGACTGCCCTGTGCAGCAGCAGCAGCAGCAGCAGCAGCAGCAACAGCAGGGGCAGCAGCAGCAGCAGCAGCAGCAGCAGCAGGGGCAGCAGCGGCTCCTATGGCGCCTGCTGCAGCTGCTGCGCGAGGAGCAGCTGCAGCAAATGGCTGCTGTGCTTCCTCTGTCTTCATTGTTTGTGCAGCTGCTGCTGCACAGGGGCCCTTCGATACAGGGGGCCCCCACAAGTCCTCTGGGGGCCCCCTCAGGGGCCCCCTCAGGGGCCCCCTTGGGGGCCCCCCTAGGGGCCCCCTTGGGGGCCCCCATGGGGAGCAGCAGCAAGGGGCCCCCATCGGGCGAGCTGCTGCGTCCCTGCTGCCGCTTTGTGCTGCTTGGGCTGTGTCTTGAGCTGCTGAAGGAGAAAGGGGAGAAGCAAAGAGCTGCTGCGCTGCAGCTGCTGCAGTGCATGCAGCCAGCAGCAGCAGCAGCAGCAGAAGCTGCTGCTGCTGCAGATGCTTTGTGTAAAGCTTTTAGCTGCCTCACTCCCTTAGTTAAGACGGCCCTGCTGCGGGCGCTGCTGCAGCAGCAGCACGAACCAGCAGCGGATGACCAGCCTGAGAAACGGCGGAGCAAGCAGCAGCAGCAGCAGCAGCAGCAGCAGCAGCAGCAGGTGGCCAGTTCTTTCTGCTGTGCCCATGCTGCCCCAGAAGAGCAGCAGCAGCAGCTTAGGCTGCAGCTCAGCTGCATCTTTGCTGTTACAGAGTCAGAGAGTGGGGCCGACGAGGGGCGCAGGTTGCTGCTGCTGCAGCTGTGGCTCCAGCAGGCCCCACAAGTCCCGCTGCTGCTGCTGCTGCAGCAGCAACAGCAGCAGGCGCTGCAGCTCGTAGCAGATGTAGCCCTGCGCTGCTGGCAGCACCACCGCAGAACAGTACACTCTGCTGCTCGCGCTGTTTGGGCGTTGCTGCAGCAGCGCTGCTCCGAGGGCATGCCTGCAGCAGCAGGGAACAGCAGCAGCAGCAGCAGCAGCAGCAGCAGCAGCAGCAGCAAGGAAGGGCAGCTGGAACTGCTGGTGGCTCTCTGCAAAAGGCTCTTCTGTCTCCCTGCCACCTGCAGGAAAGCTCTTTATCAAGCCCTGGCTTCTTTAGTCCCAGCTCTGGGGGCTTCTCTCGTGCTGCTGCTGCAGCCCTATTTGCTGCAGCACCTCCTCTCCCAGCTGCACAACAGGCCTCTGCGGTCAGCAGCAATGCTCTCCCTCCGCGCGCTCTGTGAAGACCTCAGTAGGCGCGACAAGCAGCAGCAGCAGCAGCAGCAGCAGCAGCAGCAGCAGCAGCAGCAGCAGCAGCAGCAGCAGCAGCTGCAGCAGCAGCAGCAGCAGCAGCAGCAGCAGGCAGGAAAAGGCAGCACCGGCCAGCCTACTGACCGTCAACGCATGCAGCAGCTGGGCAGCATGCCTTCGCGAAGCCTTCGGGGCTTCTTGATGGAGCCTCTACGTAATGCGCTGACGGGCAGCAGCAGCAGCAGCAGCAGCAGCAGCAGCAGCAGCAGCAGTGTGTACTGCACCGAGGCGGCTTCCTTGCCGCAGCAACAGCAGCAGCAGCAGCAGCAGCAGGAAGGGCCTCGGGAATACGCTTTGCTGCTGCCAGTGCTGCTGCAGGCAGCCGATGACTCCCCACCTGCAGAGGCTTTTGCTGAGACTGTGCTGCCGCTGCTGCTGCGGCTGGAGCCTTCTGCTGCAGCGCCGCTGCTGCTGTCGCTGAGTGCGCAGCTGCCTCTCGAGTCGGTCGAAGCAGCAGCAGCAACGAAGCAGGCGAGCAGCAGCAGCCCGGGCGTCGCCGCCGACGCTGCTGCTGCTGCTGCTGCTGCTGCTGCTGCTGCTGCTGCTGCTGCTGCTCTTCAGGGGCCGGCACGGCCGTGGAGCTGCGCAGAGGCGGCGCTGCTGGCAGCAGCAAGAGCTGCTGGCCTCTGCAGATGGGAAGTTGCAGACAGTTCTACGGGGCTGCCAGGTGCTCGCTCGAGCAGCGCAGCAGGCAGCAGCAGCAACAGCAGCTGCTGCTGCAGCAGCAGCAGCGGGGCGCAGAGCCCTTTGTGCCTCGTGGTGCGCGGCTGCAGCAGCACGGGGGCTGCTGCCTGCTACAGTGCTGCTGCAGCAAGACTGCGGAGGGGCCTCAGCAGCGGGGCGCGTCAGCTGCGGCTGCTGCTGCTGGAGGCGCTGGCGCTGCACCCGCAGAGCACTGCTGCTCCTTGCTGCCAGGAGCTGCAGCTGCTGCTGTTTGCTGCAGCGCAGCAGCTGCGGCTGGGATCGGCAGCAGAACGATCCCAGTTTGCTGCTGCCTTCGAGCGACTCCTCCTCAGAGCCAGAAATGCCTTTCGCCTGCAGCTGGCGGCCCACACAGACAGCAGCCTCGCAGCGCTGGCCGAGCGAGGCTGCTGCTGCTGCAACCCGCAGCAGCAGCAGCAGCAGCAGCAGCAGCAGCAGCAGCAGCAACTGCCACAGAAACCACAGCAGCAGCAGCCCCAGAAGCAGCAGCAGCCCCGGCAGCAGCAGCAGCAGCAGCAGCAGCAGCAGCCCCAGCAGCAGCAGCCCCAGCAGCAGCAGCAGCCCCAGCAGCAGCAGCAGCAGCAGCAGCAGCAGCAGCAGCAGCAGCAGGCGCCGTGCTGCGGGGGCTCTCTGGGTTGCTTCTTGCTGTTTCTCAAAAGGCTGCACCGCCGCTGCCTCCTTTGCTGCTACCCAGGGGCGCCGCCGGACCGGCTGCAGGTGTCTTTGCTGCTGCTGCAGTGTCTGTACACTCTGTGGGGTTTGGGCGCTGCGCCGCAGCACCACCGCAAGAGGTCCACGGCGCTGCAGGCAGCAGCTGCTGTCGCTGCCGGCAGCAGCAGCAGCAGCAGCAGCAGCAGCAGCAGGGACCCCACAGGAAGCTGCAGCAGGGCCGTGGCTGCTGCACTGGGCTGGCAAGCTGCTGCTGTCCGCCAGCAGCTGCTGGCCATGCTGCCAGTTGCTGGGGGTTCTGTCCCCCGCAGCCTTTTGCTGAATTTGCTGCTGCTGATGCCCAGCGAGGCGCAGCCCGCTGCGGCTCTAGCCCCGGCCCCAGAGCAGCAGCAGCAGCAGCAGCAGCAGCAGCAGCAGCAGCAGCAGCAGCAGGCGCAGCCTCACTTTGGGGGCATCCGACGGGACGTGTGGGGTGCTGTTCAAATGGCTCTTTCCCTCAGGCAAGACGAATCTGCTGCGGGCAGTCTGCGCCTGCAGCTGCTGCTGCACGAGCTGTTCGCAGAGCCTTTGGAAGCAGCAGCAGCAGCAGAGCAGCAGCAGCAGCAGCTTCAGCAACAAAGTGGCGTTGCTGCTGCTGCTGCTGCTGCTTGCAAGTTGCCTGCGTCGGCACTGGGCAAACAAACGGCATTCTGTGCTGCACTGAAGGAGATCTTGCAA